TAGAAATGGGAATTACAATAGTAATTTTAGATACAATTATGGTAATAATAATTCGCGATACCACGATAATTATAACAATTATAACTATAACAATTATCGCTATAATAATAATAATCAATCGAATCATGGTAGAAATAATACATGGTATGATAATAATCAAAGAAAACAAATCCAATACGGTGACGGAAATCGTAACAATTACCAATCTTATTACAACAACTCAAATAATTATAGAGGTAATGATAATAATCAGAGAAAGCATATACAATATAACAACAACTCAAATAATTATAGAGGTAATGATAATAATCAGAGAAAGCAAATACAATATAATAACAACTCAAATAATTATAGAAGTGGCGACGAAAATAATAGAAAGCAAATACAATACAATAATGATTACAACATGAATATTGAGGAAATTATTGAAGAGAAAGTTGATTCTACAAAGAACAAAGATGATAATGATTTTAATGTCAACAATTTATCTGGTGACGTGATTAATGACAAAGATAACGCATTTATGACTACTGTAAAAGTGAACGATGTTGTTACTTGTATGCAAGTGGACACTGGATCCAAATACACTATTATACCTCATGGTCTGGCTAAAAAATTTGGTATTAGAGATCTTAAGAAATCTGAGCTACAACTCACTGCTTATGACGGGAATTTAATCAAAATCATAGGAACTACTCAAGTTAAAGTGACTTATGATGGTATTTCCAAATATTTACAAGCGGTAGTGGTTGAATCAAGTAAAAATGCCTTGTTGGGACGTACGTGGATCAATGCTTTCAAAAATATTTTAAATAAATTTATAGCAAATATTGACACTAATTATGAAGATGAAATAAAAAAATTGATTAAAGAGTGTGAATCGAAATTAACTAATGGGCCAATCAACAAAGCAAGTGTCAAGTTACATTTAAGAAGTGATGCCCAACCTAAAATTATACCGCCTAGACGTATCCCTTATTCAAAAATTAATCTTGTTAGTAATGAACTTAAAAAATGGATACATGATAAAATTATTGAGCCGGTGAATGATGTCCGATGGGCAAGTCCTGTTACCGCTGTCTACAAAGAAGATGGGAGCATTAGGCTTTGCGCTGATTTTAAGGATACTGTAAACCCAGCTCTAGAAGACTTTAGATACCCTCTACCACGAATTAATGATCTAATTGCTAAACTTTCGGAAGGAAAGAAATTTACGAAGATTGACTTTAAAAATGCTTTCTTACAGATTCCAATTGATAAAAGTTGCAGAAATATTTTAACCATATCTACGCATAAGGGATATTACCAATTTACTAGACTTCCTTTTGGGCTTAAGACCTCATCTGCAATTTTTCAACAGATCATGGATCAAATCTTCGGTGACATGGATGACGTTATATTTTATATTGATGATTTACTTATAACTGGAAAAAACGATGAAGCCCACCTAAACAACATAAAAAAAGTATTTGATAGGATATCATCGTATGGGCTAATACCTAACTTTAATAAAAGTGTGTTCTTTAAAAACAAAGTGAGGTTCCTGGGTCATGATATTGACGCTAAGGGGATTCATGCTAATCACGACAAAATTGAAGCAATAATTAATATGCCAGAACCAAAATCAGCTGCTGAATTATCAACATTTCTGGGAATGGCTGGCTACTATAGAAAATTTTTGAACAATTTTGCGGAAATTGCCGATCCTCTTTATAAGATTGTCAACAAAGAAAAATGGGCTTGGAACCTAGAACACTCTAAAAGTTTTAATGATCTAAAGAAGTTAATTAGTCTTCCACCTGCTTTGACATATTTTAACCCTGAATTACCTATAGGGATAGCCACTGACGCATCAAAATGTGGTTTAGGAGCTGTACTATTTCATATTGAAAAAGATGGTAAAGAAAAACCTATAGCTTTCGCGTCGAGAACCTTATTAAAATCTGAAATGAACTATACCAATATTGAGCGTGAGGCTCTCGCTATAATGTTCGCCATAAAGAGATTTCAGGAATATTTAATCGGCACAAAATTTACAATTATTACTGACCATAAGCCTCTAGTTCACATCTTCACCAAGGGTCTTAAGGATAATAGCACCATGTCGTTAAGACTCCAGAAGTGGAATATTACATTAGGAGGATATGATTTTAATATAAAGTATAAAGCCGGTAAATATAATGTTGTTCCTGATTGCCTTTCAAGATTACCACAAGAATGTCGTGATGAAACTATTGAAAATGTAACCATTATAAATGAATATGAGGATTTACCTATTAACTTTGATATTCGTGATGAAACTTTGAAAGATACGGAATTAAAACAAGTCATAAATGATATTAATAACAACAGACCTATAATGAATAATATTTATAAAAACATTGAATTGGAATTAAGTATAATTAAAGATTGTCTTTACAAAAGCAATAAAATCATAATTCCGTCTAATATGAGAAAAACTATACTACAGTCATTACATGAAGGTCACTTGGGAGCAGGAAAAATCAAATCCTTAGCCAAAGATTACATGTGGTGGCCTGGTATAAATAATGATATCGTTATGGAAGTGAAAAGTTGTGACGATTGTAATATATATCACGATAATCCTATAAAGATACAAAAACCATGGGTTTCGGCAACCAAACCGTTTGAAAGGATACATATAGATTATGCGGGTCCGTTTTTTACAAAAAATTGGTTGATAATAGTCGATGCCTACAGCAAATTTCCAATTATTATTCCTGTTTTTAAAACTATTTCGCTATACGGAATACCTGAAACTATAGTTACTGATAACGGCACTAACTTTACAAGTAACGATTTTGAAAAATTTTGCAACAATTTTGGTATTAAACATGTGCTTACATCTGCTTATCACTAGCAATCCAATGGCCAGGTTGAACGCATGGTTAGAACGTTCAAAACACATATGAAAAGGAATATTAAAATAGACCCAGATATCGCACTTAGCAAATTTTTACTTAATTACAGAAATACGCGTAATGATACTACAGGAGTTACCCCATCACAGAGAATGTTTAATCGAGATATTAGAATTAAATGGGACTTATTAAAACCGATGGAGGAGAAGGAGAATAAAATAAACGTTACTTTACCACGAAATAGAACTTTTAATGTAGGAGATTTTGTTTGGTATAAAATACAAGGTGATGATAAATGGTGCAAAGGTATGATCACACATAAAGAAAGTGATATGATGTTCCAAATTAAGACTGAGAAAGGTATTTTAAGGAGACATTTAGATCAAATAAGAATTAGAAACTGTTTTAACACAATTATTAACTATGACTCTAAGGATTCTTTTAAGGAGGGAAGTATGGACAAAAATATAAAAATTACTGATAATAACGATATAACACCTATCTCTAGACCTGTGCGAATTAAAAAAAAACCTGCTTATTTAAAAGACTATGTAACTTAAAATATAAAATAAATATTAAATTGTATAAACTAAATTAAATATTAAAACGCTTATATTAAAACGCAAAAAATTAAAACGCTAAAAATATAACAATCTATTGATTTATCATTCTTCATTTATTCTTATGATGAACTATTATTTCTTATTCGCAACTTATTTATGATAATAACAATTTTGGAAAAAATGATAATAACAATTGAGTACTATCAAACAAGCTATGATTAATGGAGACAATTTACGATATGGATATCAAGCTTGTGATTAAACAAACCAACGTGCAAAATCGAATTGATCAAACCAACGATTGGGACAAGCCAACGTTATGATGATTTATGATACAACTTGATTACCAAAATGGTTAACCACTTGGACAACAAACTCTCTGTGTCTTCTCCGATGAAATTATCAGAAGAGGGAGAATGTTGCGTTATTCTAATTTCTTAATCTTATTATATATTTTTATAATCTAATTTTTTGTTATTTGTTATAATCTAATTTTATTTTATAAACGGCGTAACCTTACTTTTTTATATATTATATTTACTTTTTTGTATTTCGTTTATATTCTAATTTGGACCTATAAAAAATGTATATAATAGAAGTATGAAATGAAAAAGTTAGTTAATAAAATATATTTTTTATTTAATAAAGTTAATATAACATATTTATTATTCACCGGCACATAATTCATGTTACTCTACATAATAATATGACATAACACGCAACATTGTTTTTTTTTTGCAAAAATTAGAGATTATTGTGCAACGAAACGAATATTAATAATGAAATATCCCATTCATAAAATAGGAGCACTTTGAAAATGTATATTATCTCATTCTCATTCGTTAAAAACTAATTTTATTTTTTATCAATCCATTCGTAAAAATATTTCCTTTTAATCTCATTCAATCTATCCAAATCCATAAACTATCTTTTAGTATAAAACTAGTTTCAAAATTATTTAGTAAGGAATTTTAAAAATTTAAATTTATTTAACAGGATTTGATTTTTAAAGTATCTATTAAAAAATAATATAGAATATGACTTTTTGAAATAATTCACATTTGAAACCATAGCAAAAGTGTTTAGGAGTGTGAGTATATTATGTTGTATTTTATTTTAAAATATTTTAAAAACAAATTCTCATAAAAATTATAATTATAATTATCCTATTGAAGATATTTTTAATTTATTTTGTCTTCTAATTTAGTATTTTCTTCATCCACATTTGTCACCTTCCCTAATCGTGTTTTTTTTTTAAATTTACCCATATAAAAAAAATATTTTGATCTTCTTAATGCAATTGTTTTAGACGTTTCATTTATTCATTAAAATTAAAATTTAATTTATCATTGTCCTTCTAGACTTATTTATTAAAATATATAGACCCAATTATGTTTGGCAAAAATTTAATAATATCTCTTTTTTAGTTTTTTAGGCCTCCTCCTCCTAATTTGAGGAGTTTCAATAAAAGACTATAAGGTTGGTTGCACAAAGATTTAGTGATAAAATAATTAATTGGATATAAATTTATTATTGCCAATAAAATGCGAAACCCAAGGAATATAAATTTAAGGTAAAAGCTTTAAAAATATAAATGATATCGACATGATAATAACCCCAAGATTAATTCATATAAAATAATATCCTTAATGGTGAATTTTATTCTTCCTTACAATATATTCGATCCTGCATATATATTTAATAATAAGTACAAATGTATGTGTAATTTGGATATATAACTCGTTTTATTTATTTATATGTAATAATGAAATTGTTGGAAAAACTAAAGTAACGGAATCGCATATAAAAGTGCTAAAATAATGTTTAATTTGAAAAAGGGGCTGAAAATTCAATACGAAACATTTAACTGTATTAACCTCTTGTTTTTTTGGGCCTAATATTTATAAATCAAAGGAGGAGCCTTATTTCCACAATCTCAAGTGCATTTAAAATTAAACAAAATAAATATTCCAATTTAATTTCAAATTATTGAAAGATTCATGGTCATTGCCATATGATAAATACTTATAACTAATATTTTTTTTTAATTACATTTATTTTTATAAATGTTCTTATTGGATATTTTTTTTACAATAGACGGCAAAATTATATTTCAATATTTTAACGCTCTAATTATCTTATATATTTGAAAAATATAAATAATGTTTATAAGTATAGTCATAGTTGTAAAGATTCGTAATTTTGAGATTTTCTAAATTATATATTTAACATATTTTTTGAATTAAATTTTAATAATCACGTTCGCTCATTTTGGAAAAGTCTATGACATGTTTAATGATATTATTCTTAGTGTTTTGAACTGAGGTACTCTATATCTAATTTAAACTGTGGGTAGCATAGAGAAGGAATCTCTCTGATTTAGATATTATCACGTATATGTTTAATGAAATTATCCTTAATATTTTGATCACTGAGGGACTCTATATCTAATTTGAATTGTTTATTATTTGCTTTCACTGTATTCCTTTTTCTCTTATATCAAACTTTAGGATCTATCACCATATAACAATTTGATAATAACGGGGGTTCGGTTTTACAGCTGTATGTGAGAATACAATAGAACAACTAGTTTAACTTTATTTAAACTAGAAGATAAGATGCAATAAAAATTTAATTATTTTATTATATATATGTTTTGATGGTCAACACCACAATTAGACATTCAATTTATTCCCACCATGTCATTTTAAAATTTCGATATTATAAATTGATCACATTGGACTTACCATAATATTGTAGTGAATAAGGTTTAGCATCTGAAATAAATATTTTTAAAATTATATTACCTGGTAGTTCTTTTAAAATTTACCTATTATAGGGCTTGAAATGTTGACAATTCCGAAGACTGAATACATATTTTAAAATAGATTAAGAACCCTAATATATAAATTTTATATACCTCGTTCACGAAAGGTTTTATGTCCTAAAAGGGAAATTAAAAAATAATATAAATTATATATACCATGATATTCGATTGATGTAAGCCCTTCTCCTCATCAACAAGAGACAGGACTCTCTACCTCAAATCACCCGCAATTTAAAAAATTTTCCCCACATTATAAATTTTGACATAAACTTTCTATTGGAAGGTAGCCTATATAATGAAAAATGTTTTAACCAATAACTCGACAGTCATGAATGATATTAACACACATCACTTGGAAAAAATGTAAAATATTTTCCAAAAAAATAAAGATATATGGAATATGTTAGTTTTTTTTTAAATTAGGCCGTCTTTGTAAAAACTTTTATATTTTATAATCCATAATTATTATATTTTAGCTTTCACCTTTTCGGGTGGTGAGCTCCTTTGATATCCCCTTCCATTTTATATTATTCATACTATCCATCTAATTCAATTTATATTTCGTTATATTGAACATTGTGGGCCCATTGGAGTTTACTCTCTTTACCCATGACTTCTAGACTCACTTTTTTCCTATATAGCTTCTATGCCTTCTCATCGTATGTCCATACCATCTAAGTCTGTTCACCGTGATCTTTCTTTCAATAGGTACTACCTTTTAACTTCCTAGTATATTGGCATACTTGTCCTTTTTTAATACTACTGCATTCTCAGCATTTTCATCTCCATTGTCTATAAACTTCTATCATCCCGATCCTTTGTATGGCCATATTTCAAAACTATATAAGAATGGAAATGTATTTTTTCTCCTTTAGCCCTTTATAGCACAGGTGGAACTATGCAGAACCCAGCCATATTAAAAACGTTATTACTTAAAATTATTTAAATATTTTTGTCCGGATCTTTAAGTAGCTTAATATTTTTAGGTAAAGTATATATGTGCAAATTTTTGATTTTGTTCGGCACTTCATGAGTTATAGGTTTTATGGAGCTTAGGATCTACATAGACCTCTCCTGGTTAACAGGTGACTTTTTTTCATCTAAATATAAGTGTAAACAAACACATTTTATAAATAATTTTTTTTAATTAAAAATTATTAGTAATATTTCAACTTTGGATAGTCATTCTACATCATCCATTTTATTTGTCGCATGGGTTGATTTTAAACCTTTGCCGAGGATTTTTTTAATTAAAAATTATTAGTAATATTTCAACTTTGGATAGTCATTCTACATCATCCATTTTATTTGTCGCATGGGTTGATTTTAAACCTTTACCGAGGGTGATTTAGAAAATTTTAAAATCTGATTTAACAGAAAATGAATTCTAGAATGTGTGGAGTATTTACCCTATAAATTTCAGCCAATTTCAGCCATCATTTTAGTATTTTTTTTATCTAAAAAATCCATATAAAAATTATAAATTAGAAGTATTTCCAAAGTTCATGGAAAAATTGGAAATTTATAGGGTAAATACTCTACACATGCTAAAATACATTTCCCGTTAAATCAGATTTTAAAATTTTTTAAATCCCTCTCGGTAAAGGATTTAAAATAAAGAGATTCCAAATCTCTACGGATGCCGAATCCTCATTACGACATATATTTTATATAATATTACATTTTAAAATATTTTGTCACTTTTTCGAATCTCTTGGCAAAAGTTAAAATCAAATTTTAAAATAACAATAAAATCTTAAAATAACAGTTAGTCATTATATTGGAATCAATTTTTTTGATCTCATCATTTGACTAAGCAAGTATGGCAACATCATCTGCATATATCATATTCCATGGGGTTGTTATGAAGATATGATTAGACATCATCATTGTTATTAACAGAAGTAGCCTCAGTACCTTAACCGGGTAATGTGTTCATTTTACTTTAGATCATTTTTGTGTAGTTCATATACATGTCTTAATTATTCTTATTATATTTTTCCGGTATCTTTGTAATCCATATTGGGATTCTATCGAAAATTTCTTTAATTATAGAATATCTTTAGAGCTAATCAAATTTACAACAAATTATTTATATTAATCTAATCATGATCATACCTATAGATATTGTTAGGGTGCCACTCATACATTCTAAATAAAAATTAAATAAATAAATATTTTGAAGTTCTTCTGACCATAATTTTTAAACAAAAATGATTTTATTATATGAAAAAAATTTTTTGTCAGAATAAAAGATTAAATCAAAAGTTAATTTTTATGTTTAAATTAAATATGTTTCTTTGTTATTTTTTTTTTACTTTTTGTTATCCCTAATTATTATATAAAAGAAAAATTCATACCAAGTCGTTTTATCAACAAAACTTTACCGTAAAAATTTTATTTTAAAAATAAATTATATTTTTTAACATAAAATGAATGTAATTGTGATCAAAATGTTTAAATTAATCTAACCCGAATCAAAGAGTTTTTCTTCCAAATCTTTTACTATAAAATTAAAATGAGATTTATAAATCAAAGTTTAGAATTTGGAGAAAAGGATTCTAGTTCCGGTTCCTAAAATTTTGAACAGTAAATTTGGTGTTTGTAGGGATCTGGTTTCTGGTTTCTAAACTTGTAAGTAATGAAAGAAAATTTAAACAATAAATCAACTTTCTAAAATGAATTACGGAACATTTTAAAAAATATATAAAAATTACTTGTATTTTTAGTTAGAATATAACCGGTTCACGGGAATTTAAATGGGTTCTAGTTTCATATAAATTATTTTAAAAAACGTTAACGATTCTCATTCCTATTAGATGTCCCCTGTTTCAGTGAGTTCCAGCTTCTATTTTCGATTACAAACTCTGATAAAAAAATTAAAGTTATGTAGGATGATTGTAAGACGACATATTTTTTTTGTAGTTGTTGTTAATTAGCGTGGTCGAGTTAGAGAATTTAGATGTAAAAAACCAATCCGTATAAATGTCGGATCAAGAGCTTGTGAATTTTAAAAAGAGGTTATAAAAACGAAAAGAAAGACTAGATAACTTATTTTTATGGAAAGCGTATATTCAGATAATTATATATATGATAATTATTAAAAATATTTGATGTTCGGATTCTAATAGAGATTTTATATTATTTTAATTCTCTATATAAAATATAAAATTAATAATCTAAATAGAACTCTCTAGAAAAAAAAATTCATGAAGAAGAAACCCTGTAAAAAAATCCCCGGAGAACCATAATAAAACCACTACCCATTGGAATGGGAAATTTAATTCCTTATTTATCTAGATTTTACGTATTGGTAGGCTAAAAAAAATTATATTGCAACTAAGCCCAATATGTAGCAATATTATTATAAAAAATATATATATATTAACAGATGATGTTGGATTATACTAATGTGTTACAAAATTATCTTCAATATTAATATTAAATACTGATCTTATCGACTTAACAGAGAAACTCAGTAGAGAATTTTTATCCAGATTCATATTCACCTTTCATTTCTAATTTATTGGGGATACTTTGATTTCAAATTTAATAGCTTTTTAAAATCAATAAATCATAAACTAAAACTCCTATCAAATCACTCTAACCATACTTTATATTTAAAAATTTGATTAAAAATATTTAGAAGTAACCAAATATATTTTCAAAGTATATTTCCTTGATCTAGTTATATCTCAAAAATTGATATTCATCACTCAACTCAACTATCTTAGGGCCAATTTTTAATATTAACGCATTATTTTGCTCTTATATAATACAAAAATATTTTTATACCAAATGGTTTATGGTATACCAAAATAAGCAAGATACAATTATTCTCTATAGACTAGATGTGTCTAGGATAAAATCAATAGCACATTCTGTTGAAATATTGTTCTTTTTATAAATCATTAAAATATATTTTATTTTACTTTAAAATTTGTTATTTTATTGTATAATTTTAAACGATTATTATATTAGTTTTAGTTTTTTTTTATTTTTTTTTATATTTTTTATTATAGATATAAAACTATATCACAATTTTAAAATAATACATTGAACGTTAAAGTAAAACATATATACGTTATTTAAAAATATATATTAAAAATATCATGTAAACTATTTGTAAATTAAAACCTATATAAAAAACTGTATAATAAAAAAAATAATTAGTACAGTGAATTGTACGTTGGGTGGGAGGAGGTCAAGAAAGAGAGCCGTTGAGGGCAATGCAGTTAGATCTGCATATAGCAATAGATATTCGCTGTCTGAGATAGAAGCCTTCCTTGGGTCACCAGTGATGGCGCGGATTTTTTTACCAAGGGATTTGAAGAAGGTTAGGGCATGATTGCCAAAAAAACCGGTTGTATCGGATACGATTGATACGAGATTGCAATTGGTTAGGAAAGTGTATTTATTAATTTGAGAGTTTTCAGCTCGCACGAATGAGTTGTTATTAAAGGAGGGAGCAAATCGGTCGATGCAAGTATAAGCCGTATTATTCTCGGTTGAGAGGCCACAGGGTTCAAGGGTTGCTGGAATTTGAGCTGAGCTTAGAGCACGGAGAATGGTGCCGTTAACTGCACTGTGTCGAGAATGTCTACCTTTAGAGAATCGACAATGAAGAGGATGATGTCCAAAACAATCAACGGGTTGAACATAATGTACATGTGGAGTTGGCCAGACGAATTTGTTATGATAAAGAAAATCAAGAAAAACTGAAATGATCAAATTTTAGTTTCAAAATAATAAAAGAAAATGGCACTAGAAATTTTTGTAATTATAGGGCCCTTAGCCATTCGATTAAAGTTTGGTTTATGATTCAAATTCATATTCTATCAAGAAATACTGAAGACTATATAAAATTGCTTATGATAACAATCTTAAGATTATATAATAAATGGCTACTAGTTAACCTTTTCTATTGTTGAGAATATATGACATATAATGAAGGAACGGCTGAGTATGTCAGAGTTTATATGAACGGGGGGGGGGGGGCATTGCTAAATTTCTTTTGGAGATCGGGAGCAGACCCCCGAAGCATAAGGCGTGCCCTAAGAGAAAACCTTTAATGGGGTATAAGGGTTCCTTTAGGGAGTAAAAATATTTTGAAGAATTGGAAGGAAATATATTGCCGCCAAATTTTCCATTTTCATGTAAATGCTGGAGTACAAAAAATTCTGCCTGAAATAATTTATAAAGTTTTAAGTAAATATAATAAAATATTAATCATGAAGTGGTAAACAATGTAAAATCAACATTACGAGCTATAGTAATTATTATTTATTATAATAGAAAATAGAAAATATATATTTGGAATAATATTTCCGAGATACTTTTATACAATTTGAGGAAACATTTACATTTTAAGAATATTACTTTGTGGTGTAAATTTAAGGAAATTTACGAAAATGATATGATATACATTTCAAGTAAAATAAAAACTACTATATTTTTACCAACAGGCAGATGATCTTGTTCTAATATTAAAATATGCTACATCCAATTAATTTCTTAATTATACCTATATTAAGAGAAAGGTTTTTATTTGCCAAACCTAAATAAAATTAAAATCGTTTCATAAAAAAAAATATTTTCATAATTTACTTATGGCGATGAATAAATTTGAAGCTTAAATGATTTTTAAAACAATATTAAATATGAAGTGAAATTTCAAGTTAGGCTGAATCATAAGCGTATAGACTGATCATTTTAAGCTAATAAAAATTTCCCCCCCCCTACACATCCTCCCCCCACCCTCTATCTCCCAACAATGTAAATAGTATATCGCTATGAACAAGAATTTAATAGAAAATAAGTAAAAGTTAATAATATTTTTAAATAACGACTATAATTCAAAATCTTTAGAAAAAAAAACATTTTAAGGTGAAAAACTAAAATTATTTTTGTAAAAATAAGCCAAAGGCCTACAATACCTAAAGACCCAATAAAATGTATGGAGAAAAAATTTTCAATAGCCCCCCCCCTACCACCCCAGCAAAATCCTGGTTACATCTATGGTCTAAAAAAATATATACCTCTGATATAATGGTCCACATTATATAAGTAATCTATCAGAAAAATAAATATTTTTTTATACGAATTTTTATAGGAAGTCCTAACTTTTTATATCCAATTCTAAACGTCCTATATTATAAATATGTAATATGGATTAAAATATCTATGATTTTGTTATTTGATAAACCTAAAGTAGTGCTTATAACATGACCATCTATGAATGAAAATTATAATTTAAAATACAACATTTTAGTAATTTTTTATTTAATTACTATCTTTGTCGCAAATGAACGTGAAGTTGTCTAAAATCATTATTTTTAATTTATAATATTTGCATCCATCAATATCAATTAAAATGTTTCTTAATTGAATTACCATGTTTCCTACAAATCATGACATTTCTAACTAAAGATTTTTAATTATTTTTAAAAAAATTGAAATGTATATAGTTAGATAATAAAATATCTGTATTTTAAAAAAAAATATTGAAAAAATTGATAATTTTTTTGAGAAAATAAATATCCTGAAAATTTATATTAAAGATGCGAAACTAAAAAATACATTTCACTCAAAGATTCTACAATTAAGAAGAAACCTAATATCATGGAATATAGATCAGTGAATGGGTAAGCATTTAAATCAGCGTATTTAAAGATATATTTTCTGCCTGAGATTAACTCTAAGTCACAGGTAATAATAGTGAGATTTCCTCCTCCCAATGCCAAATTTCTACAGTGAAGAAGTGAAGGAGTGTAGAAAAAAGAATTATCTTCTAGTTTGAAAAAGAGTTCCTCTTGAACTCTGAGAAGACAACTATTATTTCTATAATGTAAGATTATATTTATCACAAAATAGTTATAAATTAAGTAATAGAATATTTATTTCAAATCAATTACAAATACAAATAGTAAATTATTTGATTCATTCGAATACACTAATAAAAAATACTCGAATCGATTTGATTAGCATCATTAAAATTGAAACAATTAGTTTTTTTATTTTAATAAAAACTCATAATAAATTATATGTTAAAGGACAAAGCAAGTGTTACAAGAGGATTTGCCATATCAAAATCCAAAAAATAGTTGTTATATAATAGAAAATGATGAGAATTATGAAGAGGGAACTTATCCCACTTATATAAAAACAAATTAATAGATAAATATAAAGACAAACTAATTGATAATTATTCAACAGATTTAGCATAAGATAGCAATCAATCTTTCTTAAAGTCAGCCAACATTTTTCCAGTTGGAATAATTCAGATTATTCAAACAAACCGTGAGGCTTTTATGTTTATAAATTTAGTGGTTGTTTTTATTTGAAACAGGCCCCGCTTTTTAATTTAACTTTAATTCTGACATGGCTAATGTTTTTAATTTTTTTTTACGTTGTATTATACTAAAGCTCCTTTAAAAAAAATTAAGTCTATCATATGTTTTTCTTAAGTTCAAATTCGTCATTGACACGTTGTTGAGGCAGAGTGATAGTTGAAAAAAAACAAAAATCATATTAATGATATCAGAATATTATTACCATACTGCTGAAGATGGAATAGGTATTTAGCTAATAAAAAAATTTTTTTATTTGAAAGCAGCTTTATATATATATATTGTATGGTTGTTAAACGGCCCGCGTTTAATAATACCAATATTTCAAATACCTTGTTTATTAGAAGATATCAGATCGATAAACCCAAGGACTAAAATATTATGATTAAGGATCCATCATATAATATTAAATTGTTACATACCGGGTTCATAATAAATTTTGTTTCCTTAAAAAAAAAGGAAGAAAAATAAATAAATTTTGATATTTCCAAACGCATTTTGAGCTAGAATTTAATCTTCTAGTTTAATAATATCTTGAGATTTTTTTTTACCCCAGAGAATTCAAAATTGTTATAACAATTCCTGCAAAATAATATGTTACTCTTTGGCTTACACCGAAAAGAGTTATTTTTAACTATATTTTTTTTAAGGTATAGATAAACGTTTAATTTTTACATAATTTATAAATATTCTAAAATTAATTTTAATTTATTATTTAAATATTAATTAAATACTATATATTAGCGGCTTCTGGAGTTGAGGGTAAGATCCCCCAAGAAATTTTCAAAAGGTAGGAGGAAAATTTTTAAATGAATCCTTCAAACTTAAGGTATGGGAAGGGTTTAAGATAACAATTCTCAAATTATTTGTTTATTTTAATATTTTTCTAATTTTATTTAATTTTTCTCTTACCATGTATAGGAACAAGTAAAAGGTTTTCTAAAATTACTGGAACCTAATTCAAATCTAAGAAGAAAAAAAGATTTATATTGTGTCGCATACAAAATATCATTATGATTATTGCCAACATATTCTAGTATGATATCATAATTATTAAGGACACTAAAAGCTTTCGGTGAGAATTTTATATTTCAATCGGTTAGAATTAATTTTTGAAGAAGGGGGTAAAGAAGAGGTAAATTTAGGATAAATAAATTATTATGGGTGTGAACTGAGGGGGGGGGGGGAGGGTAAAAAATAATATTGACTAATGGAAATAGACTACTATCTCTCTAACTCTTTTTCATCGGTATACCATTATTATTAAATAAATGATTGCTATTACCTGTAGACATTATTAAGACGCCATTTATATTTTCTAGATATTATCAACACAGATTTTTATATGTAATATATAATCATTTAATCATTTTTTTATATTTAAGGAAAATATATACATTACCTAGTCGTTTTACTGTAACATCTTTATCGTAAAAAAATAGACATTTTACATATCATATGTTTATAATATAACTTTTTCTTCCTTTTTTCGATTTTTATATAAGAAATTATTATTTTTTTACATAACTCTTCTACTAAGAATAAGTAAGAATTATCTCCCCCACCCCTCCTCTTCACCATTCAATTTTAGGATATAATATTTTTTCATCAGAGATTTGAGTAAAAACTAAAACTCTGAAAAAAAATTCTTTCACAATGTATCCCATAAATTTTTTAAAACTCTTTTTCGTTACACCCCCTCCCCTTCTTCCCATATTTTTAAAATCATTATTTATTTAGGCCACGCCACTACATTTTCTAGTTAAATCTAATCTACCTGAATTCCACCAGTGTCCTGCGTCTAAAAAATTGAATAACATCACATATAGAGCCTCATGATGTCAAATAATAATAATTCTAAAAGTAATAAAACATTTTTTTGTAAATTATTAGTGTTGTTAAATGACTCGTTTTAAGCCGATTTTAAAAAACGGCTAACTCAATATTTCATCCAGAAAAAATATTACCCAAGCCTGAAGATTTTGCTCATAGAAGGAACAAGGGTTCAGACATATTCACGAAATCTTGAGGCTTACGCAATATTTCCTAGCTATAATGTTGGGTTGCCCTTTTTATAAAATCGGCTTAAAAACCGTTTAACAACACTGGAAATTTTATTTATTTACAGCTGAGTCCTAAATCAAAAAATATATAAATACATAAATTTATTAATTTTGAAGAAAAAAAATAAATGATATTTTAACGTAAAAATAAAATAGTGGTTCTAAATCATTTTTCATTATTTACAAAAATTTATTTATTTGGGCAAATTTTATGAAAAAACTACTAAGTATAATATAAAAGTATGTTATTTTTCGCATTTTATTTTCATTTATTTTTCTTTGTTTGCTTGCTTTATTTTTAATAATATTTTTCTTGTTGTAACAGTAGCATATCACATAAATTATAGAATGATTGCAAATATACCCTAATATTAGGATATATCTCCCACCCATTTAATATCACCACAGATCATATAATCCTGGAGGATGATATAGCAACATTTTTTATAAATGTTTTATTTTTAGTTGAGAAAATATTAATTTAGTTTGTACTATATTATGATTTTTGATAGTATCTTGAAAAAATTTCCATCCAAATAAATTGTCAAATTACATTTAGAGGATGTTGACATTGTCAACAGTGGCTCAATATGAACTCTTTTCGCTCAATTAACCTAGAAAAATATTGCCTAACCTCGAGATTTTAATAGATGGCCTAACCAATGTGTCATCTATATGAGCGAAATCTACAAGCCTGCTTAATATTTTATTGGATAAAATATTAAGTTACCCTTTTTTAAAAATAGACTTAAATCGAGAGCCTTTTAACAATATTTATCACTCAATTCTTAAAAAAATTATCTTATAAATATAATAGCGTAATATAAAAACTTATTTTCTTCAATTACTATACCATACTCATCTTCATAAAAAAAAATTTGTATTTTGGTTTTTTTTCACTAAAATAAAAACGGGGTTTAAATGGAAGATGTTAACTTTTTCGTAACTCGAGTCACAATATAAATTTTTAATATATTTTAAAAAAATAAACAAGGTAGTTTTATCCTTTTAAAAATTGCGAAACATTAATACAATATACTTTTCAAAAATATTTAATTAAATACTAATTACAAATAAAGTTTAGTATCTAATATACAAATATTCACGTCACCAACCCTGCTCTTAGATATAATAATATTATAAAGACAAGTAAAATATAACTTGAATATTAATAAAATGGAAGAGGGAAAACTTTTCCGGGACGTTCCAGGACTGAGCGGAAACTGAATATATATTTTGGAGGGAAATGGAACCGAACAGGAACAACAAAATATAATTAGGGGTCCCTGTTTTAAAATACAATATTAAAAATTTTAATAAACTATTGTATATTCTCCTCAAACATAATTTAATTTTATGTTATTCTTTCATTTATAACACTATACTTTTACTTTTGAGATTCTCATCTTGATCTAAGTTATAATTATGCTATTACAAAATATTTCTTGAAAGTTTTATACCTAAGGCAAGAGTAACATTTTCATTTCCCAACGCTATTGTATTTAATTATGATTGTTACATATAAAAATTCTATTTTCTAAATCTTACTTATTCCGATTAACAAATTTAAAGCTTAATATAATTTTTTTAGATATGATAAATATTAAATGAGATTCTAAAAAAATATACTTCTAATTCTATGGTCCGTATTATTTAAGTATTCTATAAAAAATATATAAATATATTATAAGAATATGATATAAAAGACATACCATTTATAACCTTTTCAGCATTTTCTATATATCATTTAATAAAAATATGATGGAAATTTAATCTTTATCATTATTAAAGCTAAAGTTATGCCAAAAAAAAAGTAAAATTAATGAGACACAATACATAAGAATAACAACTTGATAATAATAAACCTTCAGTGGTGTATATTATATCGCCATCTATAAATAAATATTATATCGATTATGAGGATAAATATTCTTCTTTTTATTGAATAATACTTTCGTTTTCGCACTTATATACTAAATATAATTATTTTTATTACATCATGCAATATAAATAAAAGATGGCTTACTGGAAGTAAGTCCACGCCTACAAATTACCATATGAACTAAAGCATATAAGTAAAAATATTTTAAAAATTATCAGCTAATTATCTAATTCATTTAAGCAAATGAAATTTTTAAAAATAACCAGCAAAATTAACCAACAAATATGAGTTAGGATTAGGTTTCATTACTATGCCCAAGATATTAAATTAATTGGATAAGTTAAACAAAAAAAAAAGTAAAATAAATATCCCATCACCAAGCCACATTATTTTATTAACGTTAACTAAATATTATATTCTATTCTTCTTAATTTTAATTTAATATTAATAATAAATTCCTCTAGATTTATAATATTAAAGAGTGAATAAAAAACATATAAAATTTTATATTAAAAGATTTTCTAAATCGCAAAAAAATTTATTTTGCAAATATAATAATATAATAGGAGAAAATGGTAAATGGGTAAGTCACAATATCATTTTTGTATAATAAATGGTTTGGGCTAACAATTATAAATGATTGTAAATTTAAAACTATATAAAAAGTGTAAATAATATGCCAAGAAGAAATAAATATAAATATCGCATTTGACAAATCATCATATTAATAGTTAGTCATTTGTTTGTCTATTTTATACTTCTGATAAATTAAAGTACGAGGTTTATTTGTAGCGTAGGATAAAGAAGAACGCTTATAAATTAAAACCTGTTATAACATATAGTTTATTATTTTTAAATCATAATTGGAAAATTGGTTTCATTAAATTTTCTATATATTTCATTTTCCATGTTTCATTTTTATATCAATTTTCTGAATGAAAATAAATAAACGTCAGAAAAGTTTTCAGTGATTAATGATCAATATCTAAATTTAATGCCTTAATTAATATTTTCAGTTTTTCGAGATATATTTGATATTTCTATTTATAAGTTAAGAAGAAGAAGAAGAAGAAGAAGAAGAAGAAGAAGAAGAAGAAGAAGAAGAAGAAGAAGAAGAAGAAGAAGAAGAAGAAGAAGAAGAAGAAGAAGAAAGAAAGAAAGAAAGAAAGAAAGAAAGAAAGAAAGAAAGAAAGAAAGAAAGAAAGAAAGAAAGAAAGAAAGAAAGAAAGAAAGAAAGAAAGAAAGAAAGAAAGAAAGAAAGAAAGAGAAGAAAGAAAGAAAGAAAGAAAGAAAGAAAGAAAGAAAGAAAGAAAGAAAGAAAGAAAGAAAGAAAAGAAAGTAAGAAAGAAAGAAGGGTATTCATATTAAAAATATTCTTCTGCCTAGTAAATTTAATTATAAGGAGGGTTGTGTATTTTTACCCATCAAATATGAACAATTACGGTCAAAATAAAATACAAATTTTTTAGACAGTATTAATTTAATATAGTATAACCTAAAATAGTTTGATTATCCTCACCTATTAAACAGCTTATTTTTTTATGCTTTATCAATTCCACTATCAGTAAAGCCATTCATGATATATAGATCCCTTCATCCTTACCTACTCGAGGAGGTATTATAAATAGGTTAGTTAACTTTTTAGACCTGTAAAAGTAGTAATTTCGATATATCCGAAGACTAAAATGTTATTAAATTGATTAAAGTTCCTATTATATAGTATATTATAAACCTTGTTGACGTAACGTTTCGCTATCTAGTAAATGTAAAAAAATTTATTAATTATGAACCATAATGAATATATAAGGGGGAAGAGGTTTTAATAAAAAAAATATTAAATATTTGTGTAAATAATATATAAGGATAACCTCTTAATATTACAAGAGCGCCATTTACAAGTTCTAGATTAAAATAAACATTGTTTTAATTTTATTATACTTTATAATAATTTTTAACCACTATATGAATTGTAAATATATATAAATGGGTAGAGATTAAGATTATTTTGAAAAAAAAAATTAGATTTTAATATGACAAATTTAAATTAATATTGATTCAGAAAATATTAAACCTCGTCGTTTTATTATTGCAGCTTTGTGGTAAATAAAAATTTTAAAATAATATATGTCTATTACAAATTCTTTTATCATATATAAAATGGTTACCTGAAACCAAATTATATAGTAGATATCTTAAAATTAATCAATCTTCCCCGATATTATATACCTAGGATACCTAGTATCTAAATTAAGTGATTCGCTATTGAAAAATACTAAATAAATTTTTTAGTAAAATATTTTAAGAGATATTTCAGAGGAAATTATATTACAGATACTAAATAATATATGGTAAGAGTTTTGAAAATCTGAATAACATTATTAATACCAGAATTCGTATTCCAGAACGTATAGACAATTTATTCTTATCATGAGAATAATGAAAAATGTTGCCAAAAATTTTTAAACTACCTATAAATTATAATTAATTTTTTTTATATATCGATTTTAGATAATATTTTAAAAAAATATACAAAGAATTTAATTATATAATTCATGAGTAGGAAGCATTTTAAAATTTTGTCTTTTAAAATTATATGCGCGTTATAAATGATTTAAATTATTTTAAAATTTTATAAAAAGTAAAAACTAGATTCTATAAAGCAAAGTTTTAAATTTTAAAACCTCTATGAAAAATATTATTCTTAATATAATTCTGATTTAGATTAAACATGAGTAAAGTTTAGATGATATTTTTGCATTTTGTTTCAAAATCGGCTTATAAAAAAAATTTTTTTTTTTTAAATATCACATTCCTCAAAACTAAATCATTATCAGATAAATATAGGTAAAATTTAATATTGAAAAATATATTTTAAATTTTTATTTATTTATATTTATATTTATATACATACAATGAGTAGAAAAATGTATGGTTTGATCATTTTATTATAATTTTTTGATAATGGATACAATATACTTGATTTATAAGAAATTAATACTAATTCTTTAAAAAATAGCAGATTTTCGTAACAAATTATTTTTAAAATCTCAATTATATATAAATTATTTAGTGCACTATAATTTTTAGTTCAAAGTATTGCTTGAAATAAATATCTTGTAAATATATTAAGTATTTTCATGTTAATTTAGATACTAGCTAGTAAATTACTGGGCAAAACATGTATAACTTATTCTAGCTACTACTTATAAAAACAAAATTAATAAAGTTAGGTTAAAGGATCGGAAAAATAAAATTAATCATTAAATAACATAATTATGATGATAAAGGGGTATCATCTTTAAATGCTATAAATATGTAAATATTGATATTCCCTATAGATATTTATTAATTTATGATTAATACAAAAAAAAATTTTCCTTTCCGTTACGAGTTACCTATTTTTTAAGTTAATCATAGGATTTCACGCTTTAAAATTTTAATTATAATTGATCCTTTTTTTTAATCATATTATATTTTATTATTTTAGGGTTGTTATTATAAATAAACTGTGTAAAACTTTTAAATAATTAAGTTATTTTTTTGTTAATGTTCATCATTTTCATTCTGCGTGTTATAATGTTAAATAATAAAAACAGTTCCTTAATAGAAAATTTTTTATTATATTTTTAGAAAATCTTTAATTTAAACATAAAGGAAATCATATATAACTTATATAAATATATGATAATGATAGATATAGAGAACTGAAACCTATAAAAAATATATTTTTTTAATCAGGTCTGTTCAAGGCCAAATGTACCTTTTTAGATCTGGGTTCCGTAGCACACAGCTTGATTTGTATTTTATAAAAGGTAATCTTTTAACATCAATCATATTTAATCAGGCCGGAAAAAAGAAAAAATATTAAGAAAATATAAAACTATTGTATTTTTTCAGGCCACGGAATATTTTATTAATTTTGATATTGCAGGTCAGGCCCGGCAGGAACTCCAAAAAGTAGCATTTCCTCTAATTTGTATAAACCCAATATAATATCCATTTATAATATACCATTAGGTTTCTCATCCTGTTCTACATTTAAATTATGATTGTAAATTAATTTTCTTATATATATAAATATATATATACCAAGTTTAAGTATAAAGCGTTTGTTCGATCCTTAATAAATTTAATTATATAAATGTTTTATAAATATTATATTTGATAAATTTACTCAATTCGCTCAAGAAATTTAAAGCTTAATTTTTTAAAACATAATAAATAATTAAAACTCATGAAAAGTGGAAAGAATTATTATATACTTTCGATGTTTATCTTATTTAAGGAGACTTTAAAAAATAAAAACACATTTGTATATTATTTTTACAGATAGTCCTATGTTTATGAAAAGGTATAGCCTACCTTTCCAAGTTATTTACTTTTTATTTTATTAAAAAATACCAGATAACAATTTTATGAGTAAATCTAAAAAATTGGAATTTTTTTATCTATAAAGAAATATAATAAAAATAAACACCTAAGTGATGAACTTGATTAATATCTAAAATAACGATTTCAATATCAGAATAAATAACATTCAGCAATAGAGCAAGATTTCTAAGATAAGTTAAAATATTATAATTAAATATTAATTTTAAAAAAAAGGTTTTGACAGAAGTTATAAAAAAAATAACAGAAGTGGTTTCAATTCTCCCTCTAATCAACAAATCCCTATTTGTCAGTCATTCAATATATATAATTAAATATTTTTATTCTGATAATACAAAAGCGTTAAAATGTAACACAGTTTGGCATAAAATCTCCACTACTTTGTGTTAAAAGATTTATTCAATTATTCAGTTAGCTCTTCAAAATATTCAGCATAATTTAAAAGAATTATTAATAAGTCAATATATATTTGAAAAAGAACCTTAACAAAAATAATAAATTTCAATATATTTTGTAAATTGGTCAACAATGGCTAATAAATGATTTACCTTCCAAATATCGATCTATTAAAAATGATAGATTTTGTTATTATCTTTATTTTCAAAATATATTTGTTAAAAACATATTTTTTTACAAAAATATGAAAAAATATATGAATATAAATTGAGCTATAATGAATTACATCTAAAAAAAAGGCACACATAAAAATTAGAGTGAAATGACAGATTTTATAGATTTAAAGAAGATTATTGTTTTTTTATGATAAATGATGTATTGCACTTTGTTACAAAGTTGATACATGTCCAACTAGTAGATGTTATCTAAAAGGTCTACTGACTAGAAAGTTTTTAAGGAGGAATATAATATTATTGATGTATGAGGCTTTTGGCTTTTGCATGAAAATTCGGAGGGTAATTCCGCATACACAGTTAGCGCGAATTTGACACGAAGCAAACATGAATACAAAATATTTTGTATACTTTGCGCTAATTCATGCTACTATAAGTGGAGGTTAAGGGGTAAGTAAGTTATGATGAAATCATAAAGTATATTTGAATATTGTAGAGGCAGAATAAAAATTATGAAAAGAAAAGCTAACGTAATTGTAATTAAGGCCTAAATATATCATTAATCTAAATTAATTTTTATAACAATTAATGAGTATGTATTGAATCTTTATCATTTATAGAAATAATATATAAATATGATTGATAATATTGTAAAACTGAAATTTTATTTAAAATATATAAATAATGTCATTAGGTGATACTTGGATTTCGCAAATCATGATGAATAACTATTATCATTAAAAAATATATAGATACGTTTGATAAAATTCTATTCTAATTATCATAAATTTTTGAATGTATATAAGGTTTTAGTATTTAAAAAAAACAATAAATTCGCGAAATTTATAGTGCTGTTAAATGGCTCGTTTAGAGCTGATTTTTTAAAAACGGTTAACTCAATATTTTAGCCAGATAAATATTGTCTAAGCCTCAAAAATTCGACAATATATGTCTGTATCTTTGTTCCTTCTATGAGCAAAATCTTCAGGTTAGGGTAATATTTGTCTGGATGAAGTACTAAGTTAGCCGTTTTCAAAAATCGGCTCAAAATGAGCCGTTTAACAACACTAGAAATTTACAAATATACTTTTTAAATTGTCCAAAATAACAAAAAAAAGGTAAATTTACCGGAATCTTCTAAATAATAACCTAATTGATAGAATGTTTAATTTAAAATTATTTTGATTAGGTATATTGCTTGCTAAGTTAAAAAAAACGATATCTGATTGTGAAAATTTTTCAACATCTTAAAAATGAATAAATTAAATTTTAAAAAGTTTATTAAAATAAATAAATCAAAAAAAATACTAATAATAATAAATAAATTATTTAAGCTTAATAGATTTTAAATATCCACATTCACTTGAATTTATTGTAGAAAATTAATTAATTAAATGTTAATTTTTCAAAAAATATTAATAAGATTTACTATACTTTAAAGGATGATTTTTTGAATCATGGTAAAGGGATAAATTCAGAGCATCGATTATAATTTTGTTTAAAATTAATGAATTCTTATATAAAATTTTTCGATGTAAAACAAAAGTGATTTATTATTTCTATATAAATATACCATTATGCTGTAAAACGTAGTGCCGCTTATCTGTACCTAATAAAATAAAAAAATTAAATGCACGTTCAAATAAATATTTTGTTACCTCTTTCAGATGTAATTATAATATTTCCAAAGACTAAAATAATAGGTTTTATTGATTTTCTTATTATTATATTATATACTTGGCTCTTGAACAGTTTTGCGTCCTAAAATAAGATAAATATATAATATTTTGCTATAATTTTTTTTATAATTCTTTTCTCAGAACCCATAACCAAGTATATAGTGAATAAGGAGGATATAGAATATTAAAACCATTAAATATATGTGCCAATAAATAAAATATTTTAAGATTTATTTATTAAATTTAGAGGTTTGTTTATTATTTTAGTCATATAGTTGATTTTTTTTAAAAAAAACATAGTTGAATATTTAAAATATATAACAAAAAGTTATAAAATATTTTAAAGTCATATGCCTTTGAAAAGACAGCTATGAGTCTTTATTAAAAAAAAGGTTAAATATAATAATCTAAATATATCATTACCTATAGATATTGATAGGGTGCCATTTAAACCTTCTAGATATGAACAAATATCATTTTAAATATTCATCTTACATAATAGTTTTAATATATGTCCTTATCGTAATATAATTGGATGGGAGATTTAATAAAAAAAAAATATTTTTTAAGAAAATTAAAATAAATATATGAATAACCTAGTCGTTTTACTTGCATAACTTTATTGTAATACAATTTTTTAATTGTATTTTATAAAAATTTTTAACAAAATCTTCTTTTTTTCAGAAATTTTAATATAAAAACTTTTTTGATAAATGGATTGATTAGGATAAAATAAATTTACCTGTATTAAACATGTATACTGATTTGACAGTTACTATATAATAAAAAAAAATTAAGGCAGGCAAATAATCTCCATATTATACCATATATTACCTATGGGCTTTTTATCTTGAACTATTTAAAATATGCTGTATATACAAGTTATTTCTTAAAATTTTTATTACTTAAGTTAATAATAAGCTTTCCATATCTTAGTCCTAATTAATTTGATTTAATTTTATCATTAAAAAATATTGTCCTAATTTACTAATTCCGATCCATACATTTGAACCTTTAAGATAGTTTTTAATATAGGAATACATATTATAGGAAGAAATATACCTTCGATGTAATACTCCATATTATTTAAGTAATCTTTAAGAAAATAATAACATATGTGTTGAAAAATTCTTATTATATAATAGGTGTACCATTTATATAACTTTTAACATTTTCTATAATTAAAAAAATTTTGCTATTAATTATTAAATATTAATACAAAATAATTGTAATATAATAAACTACTATTAGTATTGTATTATAAACAAAACGTATAAAATTTTCTCTAATTTAATACTTAATTAATTATTTAAACCTTTGATTCTTATAGTATCGCCATCTATAAATTAAAAATTAATATATAATTGATTCATGCTTTATTCAAATATATATACTTTTTATTTTTTTCTCACAAGTGGTGTAGCCTAAAATAAGTAATTTTTAAACAATCCATGAGAAATAAATCATAGTTCGCTTACTCGCGTTATTATATTTTCTACAAATCATCATATTTTGAACTATAAATTAAACATAAAGAAAAATTTAATTTGGACTAATAATATATAAGAATAAATAAAATTTAACATAAATTTATATAGTAAAAAAAAGAGACTCCCTATTTCTCTTTGGAAGGGCTGCTCTTAAAATGAAATTTTCTTATATAAATGTTTTTCTATCAAATCTTATATAAGTTATTTTGATATGTATTTTATGTTTATAAATTAAAAATATCTATATTCAAGAATAAACAGCTGTTTCTAGAAATTTTCCTGAATTTTAACACAGAATTTAAAAGGCTATTTTAATTTTTAGCCTATCTTTTTTCGAGAATTTTCAACACTGGGTTAAGGATGGCTCTTTTTTAACAACAATCATATTTTATTTTCAAATAATAGATTATTCTCTTTTTTCAATGTTTGAAGATATATTTTTTAAAAATTCAAAAAGTTCCAAAGCTTTCCAAAATTTTATTAATGAAGCCATTTGAAATTTTGAAATTTTCAAGAAATATATTTTGGCCATGGGTTTATTTTCATTCTAGAATAAAAAAGACTTATTTTTTCAATAAAATTTCGAAAGTTTGTGAAATTTTTTTGATTTTGCATACAAAAATAAAATAAATGAGTATTTACTTGGATTTTTCAAATTCCTACCTATTTAAATAAGAATAAAACAAAATGTTGGCAAATGCATTCTTACGAATCAATTATTTTTATATATACCTCAAAAAATTCAAATAGAAATTTTTACATATAATTATGGTTCCTTTTTGGTAACACAATAAATAAATAGTATTTTTATTTTGTAATGTTTTAATTTTATAGCATTTTAATATTATAGTGGTTTAAATATTATGATAGAAATTTTTAATAAATATAAATTTTAATGTTAAAAAAAATTATGATAGTCACAAATAGATTTTATGTAAATCCATAAATTTTTTTCCTTTCCTTTTATTCAGATATCTAAAAATATAAGATTTTATCATAATGATAAGAGTTTGGGACAGAGAAAAGATCCCAAAATATTTTTATTTCTTTTATAATTTTTGATTTCGTCTTGAAATTTTTATGCGAATTATAAAAGATTTTGACATTTTTGGGTAAAATTATCAAAATCTCTGTTCTTCAAAAATTTTTATAAAAATATTTTTCAAACTCTAGTTTGAGGATTTTTCTTTTAGCATAGTAGATGACTTATTGGTAAATTACTTTTTTTATAAATATAATTGTTGGTTACAAAATGATAGAAAACGGTTTTATTCATGAATAATTTGTTTTTTAATATATTAACAATTATAACAAAAACATGAAATTTATTATTAGTTTAATAAATATTTTAGATACCATTTTTATCATGTGTATATAATTAAGGAGTGAGTAATTACTATATTTTTAGCCCGTTTAAGCCAATTTTTAGCCTGCCTAAAAATTTGTCTAAACTAAGTTTTTATCTGAAAACTATCACTTTGACTTTCAGGGTTTTTCTACAATTAAAATTTGCAAGATATTTATACAAATTAAAACGCCTTAATATTAACTGGTTTTCTCCGACAAGTAGCTGAAAATTGAGCCAAATTAGCCATTACTTTTTATAAAAATTATTGTTAGACAACGGAGCCACTAACCTTTCGAAAAAAAGAGAAGGGGAGGGTCATTTTCTAAAAATGGAAGAAGAGGAAAGTATAGTACTTAATCATAAAATATTCTAAAAAAAATCATGAGGTTCACCAAAATTTTAACTGGGCACTACTATGGTTCCAATATTTTTATTTCCAAGCTATACTAATTTATATTGGTCGTACTTTTTTTTAATTTTAGAATGTAGACATATTTAAGTTACAATGTTTTACTTACAGTTATACTTTAGAATATAAGGCTTATTTGTATCTAATAAATTAATTAATTTGTTTAAATTAGTGTTCATACAAAATAAATATTATATATTTATGCATACTTCTCTCGGATGTAATTGTGAATTTATCGAATACTAAAAAAAGTGTATTTTATTTGTTTATATTCTATTAAATAAATTATATTAAAATACCACGTTCACGGATAATTACGGTTCTTCCTATAGGGGAAAATAATTATATTTGCATGATATTCCTATAGCCATTATGAGTTATAAATATATACACCATAAAATCACCTATTTAAATTGATGTTAAATTTAATTAAAAAGATTTTATATTAAAATATAATGGTAATGTATGAAGTCAGTGGTTATAAAAAAAATAATAATCAATCTTTTTTTAGACTAATTTTAATTATGCATTTGTTTTAAAAGATAATTTTTGTTGAAAGAAAGAAATAAATATTTACTAAAAATATATGTTATATTATTAGAAACATTATTTTATTTAATAATATTAAATAATTATTTAGTTATATTTAAGAAATATTTTAGATCACTTGCCGACGAACATTATTATTTAATTTGCACTATTCATACATTCAATTTTATTTTATTTGACTAGTATTCTAAATTAATAAACTTATTTATATTTAAAATTTCAATTTATTTTTCATTCAAATTTAATTTTTATTTTTAAATATATACTTTTACTTTTTATTAAATTTGATATTTTTTAATTCAACTTCCTGCCTACCTTTATAATACAAGTAGAGAACGATAATTAAATAAAAAAAACGAATGAACTTGAATAAGGGAGATAATGGATTATATATGATCGAAGGTAAATATAGGGGAAATGCAAACTATAAGGATATATATATCATTGTATTGGAATATATAATACAAACAAAAAGAACTATAAATAATATAAAAAATAATTACCCAGAGATATTTTTAGGGTGCCATTTACGCCTTCTATATATAGATTTATACAAATTATTTTATATGTCGTAGTTATAGCTATTCAAAATTTTAGATAATAAGAATTTCCACGTAGCCGTTTGGTATCTTTGAATTTACACAATTTATTTGGAATCTTTTAAATGGGGATTTCGATTTGTTATAATTTCCTTATTGTTGCATAATATTTTATTGTAATTTTAAATACGAAGCCTTTAGCTTCAATTGATTGACCTGAAATTAAATAGAGATTTTTGTATATTATTGTAATTTTATATACGAAGCCTTTAGCTTCAATTGATTGACCTGAAATTGATTTACGATATATATGTTAATAGAGATTTTTGTAAAAAGAAAACATATAGTCGAAAAAACGAAATAATATATATATTTTTATTAAAAATTACATATAATTTTTTTACTTTAAATTCAATTTCTATATGAATAAATCCTTGATAATTTTCCTCCTGTTTGCTCAAATTTTCTGCGAATCACAATAAACACATTCTAATAAATATTCTGTTTAGCGCAAACATTATTCTTTATTTGCGACACTTATAATAAAAACCTTTCCTACAGGAAGAATCTCCTTATATAGTGCACCTTCACATAGTAAAAATTTTCTTTCGCTAACACCTATTTATAATAGAATCTCTTTATTTATAATTATCACGTTTTTATATATCAGGCTTCGCTGTTTGAATTAAAGGAGTATTTTTTTAAATGCGAAAAAAGAAATTACCAAATTTTTTGCCATTTTTTAACTCAAAATAAACGATTACCAATTTGTACAATCCATATATATTGTTTGAAGAAAAAAATCGCAAACCCACACGCTTTAAGTTGACTTCACTATTATATTACTACCTATTAGAAACACCTATTAATAATGTACAAATACTTATAATGAGCTTCCTTTTATAGCGACTATAATCATAATTAGTATCTCTTTATAATGACTCCTTATACCGACCATTTATAGTGTCAATATTTTTATGTTGAGCATCGTTATAATGATTGCCTCATTTCAATAAACTATCATTTTATTGATCATTTCATCCTAAGAGCACTCCTTTCGAAATGGTCCTTAAAATTATTTTTAATTGTAAGTCTCATATTGTAATGTGTGAGAACTTTATTATAGCGTATGGTTCTTATAGCAGTAGCAAGATCTAGTTATAGTGACTACATCAAAAGATTAGTAACCAACCTCTTTGATTAGTATATAAATAGGTAGCATAGTAAATATATGATGTGGTTATTTATCATGAAGATGATCGCTATTATAAAAAGGTGGTAAGTATAGGGGATTTCTATGCAGAGACGCTTTAAATGGAACTCACTATAAAAGGGTTGTTAGGGTGACTCAACTACATCTCATTAGTTATCTATAAAGGGCGCAAAAAATTTGCTAAATCTAAAGAGATGCTCAATATAAAACA